GCTGCTCCAAGAAGCAGGAACCTGGGCTGCCAGGAGAAAATAAATCAATATATTTAAGTGCAATTGCTGGTGCTTTTCAGAGCTTTATTTTTTATTTTTTTTTACAAAGAGACTCCTATTTTCTATTACCCCCTCCCCAAACAAAAGAAGAAATTCACAGTGTTCTGGCCAGTTACAGAAATAGAAAAAAATTTTGCCCCATCTTGCTGAGTGAGGACAAGGAGTCGGAAGGAGCTGGCTGGGTGTGGGGAAAGAGAAACTCAGGGCAGGTTTCCTTTCCAAAGAGAGCTGTGTCTTCCAGGCAGAGCTGCCGAGCGTGCCCGGCCAGCCCTGCACTCGCCTCTGCTTTCGTGTGTATTTAAAAAAAAAAATCATTAGCGGTTTCAGAATGAATCAATGGGGTTGAAAATAGGCTGGAACAAAGGTTCTCATGTAATTTTGAGTGGCATTTCAGTTTCTTTGCGTGTTGAATTTCTGTTTTGTTTAAAAAAAAAAAAAGTGTATGTTTTTGCACTGGCACAAGGTGATTTTCTGGAAGGTTTTTCTAGGATGGGTTTGGTTAATTTAGAAGAAAAAAAAAAACCCAACTTTTCTTTTGGTTAAAATGCTGTTAAATGATGTAGCTGAACGGTGCTGCAGAAATCTGGCTGAATGCTGAGAGCCATTCCCTCCTGCGTGACATCCCTGTTGAGGGACTGCTCAGCCCTCAGCTTTACGCTTCCCCTGTGCCTCAGTTTCCCCTCGAGCAGGACAGGCTCATTTCCATGAAGGGTTTGAGCAGGGGCCATTCTCCAGAGCGGATGCTCCCGCCAGCCCGAAGCCTCGCTGGTCCCTGTCACCAGCCTGCGCCCCGGGGTGCGGGGTTGGCACGCAGGAGTGATTGCTGTTGTGGTTACCCATAAAAAATTATAACCGCAGAAAAAGGAACTAGAGCAGAGAGATGAAACTTCTGCTGGTGCCGGCGTCTTCCTCACGAGGGGGCTGCGGGGATCCGCGCTGTTACGGGAAGGCAGATGGGATGTCTCTGCGTGGTGACCCCATCCCCTGTGCCACTCCCTGGCAGGGCCACGCTGTTCGGTGCCACCGCTGTGGCTTCAGCTGAGCTGCCTCAGTGTCCCCCCGGGCTTTGCTGTGGGACTGTCGTCTGCTACAATGGATAAAAGCAAAGCTGTGTGGGGTGGCGTGATGCGTGGGGAGGATGTGAGGCCGTGGGGTGGCCAAGCACTTCTCTTCAACGCCTTTCCTGCCCCACAGGTGTATCCATCCAACTCAGGTGATGACTACAGCAGGGATCCAGCTGGATATACTCCCTCGAAACCTCCCAGCACTGTGTATCCCGGAGCCTTTTATATGGCAGGTGAGTTATTAACAACTCTGGCGTCCTGCAAACCAGCCAGAGCCGGGCTCCCTGGCCCATTATGGGTGACGGGATGAATTGCACAGCATGTGAGATGGAGGGAGCTTGGGGGAGGAGCACAGGAGACGTGAAGCAGCCCCAAAAGGGCTTGAAAGTGGCAGAGGGGAGATGGAGATGAGATGTGAGGAAGAAATTTTTGTCTGTGAGGGTGGTGAGACAGTGTCCCAGGTTGGCCAGAGAAGCTGTGGCTGGTCCTCCCTGGGAGTGTTCTCGGGCC